TAATTAATATTTACAGTTTTTTGGCTTCCGTATTGCACCGAAGAGATCTACCAGTTATTGCCACTAAGATTTTTTTATAGGTCTGATTTATGGTGTGTCGTGACTCTTGTATTACATTTTTTGATTATTGATATGCACGCCGCTGATAGAGTGTTGCAACAGTTTGCGTCTCATCAACCGATTCCTACGTAAATATGGGATATGGACGCGCTCCATAGAATTGATTTACGTGGAAAACATAAAGAAGATTGGCCAACGAAACACGTTGTCTACATTGAGCAATGAAATCAATGTTAGTTATTCAGTCCACTTGCGTTACGTGATTACACCAATGGACCTAGATTTCGACCATTCTCCCTATCTCCAAAATTACGAAGCAAATGGAAAAACATATATCACGGCAGTGGAAGAGATAGGAGAATGGGAACAACACAAGGTCAGATTTGCCATGTCAAAGAAATCATCGTCATCTTCTTCTTCTGCTTCAACATATGTATATGAAGATTACTATTATGCATATCAGGTTATTTTCGTTTCTATATTGTATATCATACTTCAACTAAGACTCAACCAACTTGGGATGGAGCTTCATGGGATGCAATACAACACACTCAAGCATCTTCGACAAAACATACGAGTGAGGGTGAATGAGATCATATCATATATAATCAACAAAGTAGCCAAGTCAATTCAGTAACGACAATGATGGCGTCAAATATCATAAGCACATCACCATATTTCGAAGGTGGATCTTAAAGTGTGTTAAGGTTTCTATATTGTATATCATACTTCAACTAAGACTCAACCAACTTGGGATGGAGCTTCATGGGATGCAATACAACACACTCAAGCATCTTCGACAAAACATACGAGTGAGGGTGAATGAGATCATATCATATATAATCAACAAAGTAGCCAAGTCAATTCAGTAACGACAATGATGGCGTCAAATATCATAAGCACATCACCATATTTCGAAGGTGGATCTTAAAGTGTGTTAAGTACACCTCCTTTTAAACAACCAAACCACGATGAAGATGAAGACGACGATGATCAAGAGCGAAGACCTCGGCGTACTCAACGAGCCCCATGCCATTATCATTCGACCACTCCTAGATATCGTTAAAAACTTATAAAGTATAAATAAATTTTATTATGTACATATTAGTTTGTAAACACTTTTTTAATAAAATTATTAATTTACTTTTTAATTAATTTATTTTTTAAAATTTAATCTGGCGGAGGTGACGAGTTCTATGTTATCCCAATCCCAAGTGATTGTTGTTGTTGCCCATTATCACCTCGAGGTGATGAGTTACGTTATTTTTAAATTTTAAGTTTTAAAATTTAAATTATTTTTATAATTTTAAAAAAATTAAATGGACTCGTCATTTCGGGGTGACGAGTCACATTGTTTACAATAATTTAATGGCCCATGTGGGTCCCCTCATCTGGGTCTATTAAAATAATATATCTCGAGGTAAGAAGTTTAAGCATCACTATAACATTTGTCGTATTCTCCAAAATAAAAAATCAAATGTCCTAATATGCTAAATAAAAAATTCGAGTGCTCTATTGGGCCAAAAAAATCAAGTGGGTTATTAGTGGAAATTCAAAGCATCATCTATCCATCAATTTTTTAATAGTATAGAGTTATTATAATTTAATATTTTTTTTAAAAATATTAATTATTAATAATATATATACATCTTGTACATACAATTATTTTAATCACATATCATTATTGCAATCATCTCTAAATATATGAGATAATTATAATCAGGGATAGACCGAAGGGACAAGTAGGGGTAGTCAACCTCCTGAAGTTTTTCTCCTATATTTTAATTTTTTTTGTGTATTTTCTAAGGTAATGTACACAAAAGATCCTGACTATAGGGTGTTACTTTGTTCAGTCTTCCGACTATCAAAAGTCACAAAATGATCTTCATACTATAAGATATTGTTTTGTTAAGTCTCTCGACTATTAAAAGTTACAATATAACCCCCTATACCAAATCTATTTGTTATAACTAGATCTAACATATTACAAGTAAATTTACGAAACATCTTAACGTAAAAGATCATAATATGTCAAAAATAGTAGAATAAATATAAAATATCGGGAGTAATAAAAAATATTGATTAACAAGTATCGAAGTAACACATACATTAGTAGTAAAAGTAGTATGTCATAAAATATGTATCTTAAAATATAAACACATGTCACCAAAATAAAGACAAACTGGAAGATGAAAATGTTACAACAAAAGTACAATAAGTGATATGTTGATCCTCTAAGTGCCAAGTTCAAGACACCTATCCAGAAGTATCTAAAAGGAAAAGTTGGGGGAGTGATTTAGGAAGCTCAGTGTGTTTCAATAAATGCAAAATAAAACATACAAATAACTTCAAAATTTATTTAGTATGTATGAAAGTGACAATAAGACTTTTATTAAAATCAATTAAAGTTGGGGGAGTGAGCTAGGAAACGAAAGAAACTGATATGTAGTTCCCAAAACTACATCCATAATGATTTGTCCTAGGCCCATTGAACGTGTGAGATAATCTAAGAGTACCTTAGGTCCAATAGACTTATCTTAGCCAAAATGTAGGAGCCCACTAAAGGGGTGTCTTAAGTTTATAAGGACTTATCTTATTCTCATTTGTCATAAAAGTCATTCTAAGGGACTATCTTAGAATCCATAAGGTCTTATTCTAGGTCTAAGAATTTACCTAATGATCACCTTAAGTCCATAAGAAACTATCAGCTTGATCGAAGCTGAACTAGTAGAGACTTCATAACACATTCCAAAGAGTACCTGAAAAAAATAGTTTTGTATAGTAAATAATAGTATCATAATTCTATAAATTAGACATTTGTTTTTCAGTAAAACCAGTAATCAAAGAATATGTATTAGACAAACATAATTTATAACCAGTAAATCAGGAATTAGAATTTTAATAAAATAAATCATTCATAAGTGAAATAAGATAAAACAATGATATTTTAAAGCAAATAGATTTGTTATATTGAAAAATAATATATAGAAAAGTATTATTGTAATTATCTTTAAATATATATGAGATAATTATAATTAGGGATAGACCGATGGGGCAGATAGGGGCAATCGACCTCTGAAATTTTTAAATTCTATTATTTTAGATAGGGTAAATTAAACAAATGATCCTCGACTATATGGTGTCACTTTATTGAATCTCCGACTATTAAAAGTTATAAAGTGATCATTCGATTATATGATATTACTTTATTAAGTCATAATTTGACTCGAACTCAAACTTAATGTTTAAAAAAATCAATTCAATTAAATCAAATCGAAATTAATCAGTGAGACTCATATCAAATGCCCCTCCCTACCAATAACAACATGAGAGGACCACCTAAGATGTGTTGAAAGATTCGAAACATAAAGGTCTTCCCCTGAAAATCTAAGGGTGAATTACGTATTTGGTATTTAATTTATTAATTTTAATTTATTTTAGTATTTATTTAAATTCTTTTTAAAATCATACATAATATTTAGTTTTTTTTATTTTAGTATTATGTCGTTAAAAACTTAACTTGTATAGTATCTAGATTACCAGTTTTCGGTTGTTTTAGTATTTAAACTTTTAAATTTTTCAAAACTTAACGTTATATTTTGAACATGATACTAAAATGAAAAAAAACTATAATTTTTAATGATAATGTTTTAAAATAAAATAAAAATTAAACTTTAAATATGATTTTGAAAAAAATTAAAAATTTAGATGATAAAATGAATCAAAACGGATCCCAAAATCTAACCGGATGAACCAACCAAATTGAAGAAAGTACAAAAGAAATCCCAACACGTGAATCACTGGCATCTCTCTAGAGCAAATTTCAACGGTGCCAACCAATAATGATGACTTGTGGCCATGACCGTTGTTACCGCATTACCATTTATTTCACCTTTATTCTCCCATTAATCAATAAAATTATAAAATTAAGAGAGAAAATGAATAGAACAAATTATCTTAATGAATATTTAATTATGATAAATTTTATTTTAACTGTTAACCTTTTAAATTTATGAGTAAACTACGTATTTAATATATAAATTATAGTTTTGATCCATTTTAATATTTAAACTTTTATTTTTTAATAACATACTTAACATTTAGTTTTTATTTTATTTTAGTACTCGCCGTTAAAAACTTGACGCATTTAGTATATAAATTATCAATTTTGATCTGTTTTAATACTAACCTTTAAAAAAATTAAAACTTAATGTTAAATTTAGATCGAGGTACTAAAACGAAACAAAAACTAAAATTTTTAATGGTGGATACTGAAATGAAAAAAAAACTTTAGGTTTGGTTTTGAAAAAATTAAAAGTTTAAGTATTAAAATGGATCAAAATTGATAGTTTATGTATTAAACATGTAATTACCCTAATTTTATCAATAAAATCATTTAACTATTTAACGATGTTAATCAAACCTCCTACTATTAATATTTTACAAAAGAACTAATGGGACAGTTAATATATTATGTTAATTTGATATTGATTTTAATTTAATTTAATAAATTTAATATTTCAATAATATGATGACATGTTATTTAATTAAATTAGGATCAAAATTATCAAATATATAAATGATCATGACTAAGGGTATAATTATATTAATTTTTGTTAACTATCACGACAACTCTTCTCTATATTAATAAAATGAAATATAATAATATATTTCAACAATTTTCTAGAAAATTCCATTCCAATAAAAATAATATTTTATATTTTTGGTTGTGCTCCCGGTTCCTAAAATTTTGTCTTAATTAATCCGGATCGCACACCTAGTTTTGGTTGTTAAGTCTCCCAGCAGAGATTTTTTGCATACACAATGACTCGAACTCAAGACTTACCTAAGCGATATCAAACTGCTTATCACTTGAACGAACTCTCGTCGGTATATTTTCATTGTGTATTATCACATAAAAAATTAATACAACCAGCCAGTCAAATTTGTCATGAAACAAATACAGTAAGGTTAACAATTGAAAAAGAAAACAAAAAATCATAATTTAAAGAAGCAGCAAAATCCAGAATGTTAAAAACTTGAAACACACTATAAATACTTAAGCTTAATGATTAACCGAAACAAAGAGTTAAACCCGTTGCTGCTTTCTGGTTTCCATCCTCTCCAACAAACCAGCAATCTCTGCTTGCATCCTCAGTTTCATTTTGTAATAATCACAATGTGAATGTTCCAGGACTTTCACTTCTTCCGATTTCCTCCGTCGTCTTTCCTCGGTCTCCTTCAAACGAAGCTTCGATAGCTTCTCCACGTACTCTTCTTCCACCTTTTCGGATTTGGCTCGGATCATCCTCGTGTAATTCTCGGCATCTCTCCGTGCTTCGTCTGCCTTGCTTTGAAACATTATTGCTTCTGCTTCCTTGATCTTTATCATGCTCTCTATGCTGTCGAATCCGTCTGTGTTTGATAACCGGCCGAACTGGTACTCGTCTTTGTTTTTTAGGTCGTTTGCGAGAGCAGTTTCGAGATCTTTCTGACTGCGGTTGTTTGGAAGTAAATCGAGTCCACTTGACTTGCCTGCGCTGTAGAAAGCGATCTTTGGAGGAACGGGAGTAGCCGGTGTGACGGATGATTCATCTTTCTGAAGGTCAACTTGTGTTGTCGTCAAGTCTTTTGAACATGCACCAGATGCGGGAAAGTCCGATAAACCATCGGTGTCTGTTTGTCCCGGCCGGAAAGGAGAAACTAAGGGTTAAGATGAGAATATCAGCAATATAGCGAGCTCGATATCGGAAAAAGTATATCGAGATATGCATGCAAACAATGTTACAGGAATTATCAGCAATATAGCGAGCTCGATATCGGAAAAAGTATGTCGAGGGCTTCTACTATGATAGATGTTCTTAGACAGAAAAAAGCAACCAAGACTACGTACATGAACACGACACATTATACAGGAATGATCCTCATAGCATATGCACTGTTTTTGGCTAATCCATTCACTCAATCATTGAAAGCCCTTAACGATCGGCCCGACTATTCGGCAAAATAATGTTGTACGTCACAAATGAGGCCGACTTTTAAACCAAAATCATGAGATTATCACATTCCGGGGTTTCTAATGTGCTGCTCTTACATGCCGTCGATAATATTTGAGAGTTCCCCGACTCTCTGCACATATCGTTCACTATATATAGACGTAAAATGCTATAACTAGAATGCATATTTATAACTAAAAGTTTTAAGATCAGTACTCAATTGAAACCCTTCCTCTTCACTCCTAAGTCACTTGAGCTTATATTACAACAAATATCAAGAAGCAATGCAATAAATATGTGTTCCATGAAATTCAATCGATGAAGCATGACAAGTTCGCATCGAAAAAAAATAGATAGAAATACTTACAGTTGAAGAACCGAAGAATTGTGCTACACACATCACTAGTGGACATCATTTTGCTTTGGAGCCGGATGAAGAGCTCATCAGCTTTCATGTGCAAGTCCTTGCCTTTCTGATCATCACTGCCCCTGAAAATATTCCGCACACAATCGAGCTCCTTCGTTAGTGTTTCGGGATCCCATTCCTTTGCGCAGCATAAAAACACATCCTTAACGAATCCAAACATTTCCGACGCATGACCGCAACCTATGCAGTGAAATTGCATTTCGGTAGTCCCAGATGGTCCCTTTAAGCTAGGACCTGGCTTGATAAGGTTCTTCTGCATACCACAGGCAGCATGGCACCAATGAGAACATACGTCGCAGCCGATCCAACTGCAAGTATTGCTGGCGTAATCAAAATTCAAGCATATCGGACACATGCAAGAACTGCAAAACCCCTTATTTGTCAAGCATACCTTACAATCACAGTCATCTACAGGCAACAAACTCTTGCAATTCAGATTCCTACATCTCATAAACAAGAAAATATCGATCAGCTCCGTCATGGGAAGCCGGATTTTTCCGGACAAGAAGCTTTTAATGCCTGTTCTCACTGCAACTAAGACTTCTAGCTGGTCCTTATGACACTTTGAGAGAGTCTCCCTAGTAAGATCAGATCTCGCCTTCAGCCGGTTTTGAAGTCCCACTAATTCATCCTTCTCTGGGGTTGATATAAGATTCCTAAGGTATTCTTTACTCAATTCCACTGTTTCCTCAGGGAGCTCCTGCATTTTTTGAGCCATGGAAACGATTGACTCGGATATAATCTTACAAAGGATTCTGTCTGGTCTCGAAATCTTTCCGGATCTCCCACCATCCTTACTCTCCAAAACCATCGAATCGCCACAATGATTATCAGAACGCGGCTTAGCAGACAATTCGGATGGGAAAAATGAATGATTATCTGAACTAGCAGTTCTATAAAGACTGGTCAAAGCAACTCCATCGCCAATTGGCCTAAACCGACTATGAACAGATCCGTTAGTACCCTCACCACCACACCAAATCTGATCATCTTTCCCAGCAGAACACTCGAAATTCTCGGTCGAATTCCGGGTCAACGAGCAGCTCGGATTATGCGAAAACGGCAGAGAGTAAGAGTATGACAACGAAGCAGCAGTGAAATCATTAGAACAAGTGGTTTGTGTGTTATTGTTTGATGGAGCCAAAGACATTACACTCCTACTAGGCCTTGATGTATGATTGTCTGGAAAATCGCCATTCTGCAAAGCATTTGAAGCAGTTAAAGAGAGAGAAACATCAGGTAAAGCTAAAGACAGATTCAAAGTTTCAAGCTTTGGTCGTTTCTCATTCCCTTGAAAATCTTCCTCGGCCTGTCGTTTTGAACCGATCCCTTTACTTTCACTCAAGCTCAAGAAATCCCTTTCAACCCATTGCTCGTCTTGGTTTGAATTCTCGGAATCGACAACTTCTTTGCCTTTGTAACTAGCAGCAACTTTTTCCAGCAGGGTTTTCCCAGGAAAATCTTTCCCGGAAAGCAAACCCAGTTTGGGATTTTCACAAAGGTAGCTAAGAGTGAGTTCTTGTCCTTGTGATCCAGAATTCCCAGGCTTTGAAGGCTTCGATAAAGGGTAACCTCCATAGAAACCCACCTTCGGTTTGAGAAAATCCATACCCTTTTGTAAAAAACTCATTTTTTCAACGGAGGTCTCCTTGTTTTGAAACAAACGCGAAACCTTGCTTTGAGAGCTTTCATCTCCTAGACAAAGGAGACTACTTGAGAGATCTTTATCTCCAAAACATGGCCTTATCAAACTCACACTGAAAACAAAGAAACAAAAAGAGGATGAAGAAAATGATTAAGAGACTTAGCCAGAGAGAGAAGGGTGGTAAATTAAAGAAGTACAACTTATAGGATCAAAGTATAAATTTTGAAAAGGTATCTAAGAATGCTTTACTATTTTACCTTTCATACTTTATATTTTGCTTTAGTACGTCATAAGACTGTGCAACAACGGCTTGAAATTTCAAAGGTTAATCTTTCAAAAAGTTTTCTTTTTTATTTTCTTTAATTTTTTACCCAAATACTAATATTAATTAATAGTGGATATGATTCCTGCAATCATATAAATGAAATACTGTATGAAAAATGAAATAAATCTATCATTTAAACATAAAATGTTATATATATAAATCTGGGGAAATGTATTCATCATTCATGTATGTCATCTATTGCATCAAGTGTAGCCTAATGCCTAAAATCAAGCATTCCAAGCTATAGATTTCATGTCATACACCCAAACTTTTCACATCAGCAGCAAATCAGTGGCATGGATCAAAATAGAAAATTAAAATGTTAAGGAAATTTAGCAGAAGTAATCTTATGATCTTAGCAGCCATTGCTAATTCATCTCGATTATACAGAGCAGTGCCGTAACGAGTATCACGCTAGACATGTTCGGAAAATTAGAGCTTCAATGTAAGATCCAGCGAAGATGTATCTGTTATTGGTGGCGATGCTGTTGCTACAAAACTTATGTTTGAACTTCGAGTTGAATCTAGAGGGCAATCCGAAGCCTGGTTGCTGCTGGCTCCTTCATTCACTTGCCTGAAACTCCCTGGCCAAAAGAAGTCAACGTCATCTTCTTCCATGAATATCGGCATCCCGAAATACCCTTGATCAAACCGTGCTCCAGCTCTTGTGTCCAGAGGCCTCTGGGATTGCATGGTTCCGTGGTGCATAGCAGAATGAGCTTTGATCCCGAGAGACCGAAATGTAGAACCATGAAGGGGCAAAGATGCCAAGCTTGTATACCTATCAGACAATATCCCCATCCGCATTGCACGCTTTGCCATCGTCCTCTCCCTCTTATGAGCATTCTGATGTCCACCCAGTGCCTGCGAACTATAAAACTTGCGCCTGCAATAATTACAAGAGAAAACCCTCGGGATAGTCGGTGACAAAGTATTGACCGCTATCTCACTACTAGTCTCTCCGGTTCCCTTCGTCTTGGCATCACTGGCACTGAAATGGAGAGTCAGGTCTAGGGAAACAGACCATGAATCTGGTTGAGCCTTTACAGGATTCGTGAGGCATGAAGTAGTGGCTGTGCTATCCTTCGAGGGATCCGAGGATGCTTCTTGCAGACACACGTTGGAAGCTGCTCGGCTATTCGCGTCTGAATCATTTTCGGATTCTAAACTCGGGTTTGGTGGTGTCATTCTCGGGTAATCAGCAATGTCTACTGCTTGTTCCGTTTGATATCTCTGGTATGAAATGTTACTGTGTTAATTAGTCGGATCTTCAACACCTGCATGCAAGTAAAAGAAATGAAATGTTATACTGTCAACAAGAACTTGCATTGGATAGCTGGACAAAACTGAAACACAGACCAGTCACAACTCACAATAGGCATCATGAACAACAAAGGAAAACATTCACAAATATCTATACCTGTGTCCAAGTTTCATGTTCGAATTGTTCAAACCTTGCAGTAAGGACAGAAAGGATGCGACTATGTATTAACAAATCAATAAGCAACAAAGAAACTTCTCGGTCAGAAACATTTTGTGTCTCGTCAGTTCAGGAATTTGGGTTTTTCTGTTTCTTGCAGGCCATGTACATAAAGAAATTAGAAGCTGGACTAGCATTCAAGCAACACAGGTCGATAAAATTCACCAACACAAATACTAGAAAGCTTTCTTTTTGACTTTCCATTACCAACTAGAAGAAGATGGTAATATATAAAAAAAGATGGAGCAAATTGTTCAATGATCGGCAAAGCTCGGAATGCATTGGAATAAAGAGTAATCACCTCAGGCACACAGAATCAAACTTAACCTAGTGTTGAATATATTCTGTGGTTTCTCATTTCTTCCTTAAACTCTCTATTTCCCGGCTTCATAGCGCTCAAGAGTGACAATTCAAATTATCGAGTTTTTTAGGAACAACAGTTCTTCGTGATGGAGGAAACAACATGCGAGATATCGAGTTCGAGCATTTATATTAAAACTACCTATCATGGTACACAAGGACCTATTAGTGAGGACTTCCTTTCCATGTTACTCGGATTCGTGTGTTTTATTGCAAACACAAGAGATCAAAAAAGAGTTAAAGAAATTAGTGTCCAGTTAAGGCCAGGGAGCTTAGCAAATAAACGAGTCCAACACTTATCGGAGAATCAATATTAGAAATCCTAGGATCTAAGATGATCGATAGGAGGTGGTCAAGTTTCATGCCACGAAAATTACAGTTAACTCTCCTTGATTTCATATGGTCCCATATGATTCCTAGGAGCATCAATCATGAACGCAACAAGATGCTTGATTCCATAGAAAACACAGCGCTAAAATCACCGAGAATCAATGAAGATAACAAAAAGTTCTACATATTCGACCCCATTTCCTTCTCAAGCAGGGATAGACCAAGGGGCTGCCGGCCTACTGGGGTGTTGTCGCACTCGCACCTCATGAAAATTTTGAATTCCTATATAATTTAGTTTATGTATTTCCTTTGTATTTTCTTTAGATGATCTAAGTTCTCATCCTTGCAATTTTATAATTTCATGCACCTAAATTTCTAATTTACTTCTTAAAGGTTGACACTCATGACACAAAGCGAGCACGGTGTCAAATGAAGAACATCGTGGAAGACTTTCAGTATACAGAAGAATAAAGTAAAATAAAATAACCTAAAATTGATCTATGAGACATACATACAAGCCATGAAAAGAAACAAGATATAAAAACCCAGATTTAGAATCCAGGTAACAACGAGCCAAGAAAAAAAAGGGTTAAAATTCAACAAAATCCGAAGCTAAAAACAAGAAAACAAACATGTCAAGAACCGAAGCTTAAAATCAGTAAACACAAACCAAAAGCAGACTCAAAACTATGGATTTAGGGGGGGGGGGCAGGGATTCTAGTTTTTACCACAAATAGTACAGTGATTGTTAAAGAAGAAGAAAAGTTGAACAAAGATTGCAAAAAAAAAAAAACTCAAAGAAAGTAGATGGAATACACTAACCCAGTGGTGCAGTGATTGATGAATTTGAGTGGGGAAATGAGAGAGAAAACATTAAAGATTACTGTAAAGTCCCACAAAAGAAGAAAGATACTATGAAAATGTTTCTCATTGCTTTTCTCGCTCCTTTAATTTTCTTTTTGTAATTAAAAAGTTGTTTGTGGTCAGATTCTTCTTCCCAACTGCTACCTTTGTCAGATAAGAACACTCCCATGCTCTCACTTATGGAATTTGCATGGACATGACCCTTTCGTCTCACACTAGCCCATACTTTTTCTTCGAAAATTATTTTTCCAATAATCATATGAATAACTTCTTGTAACACTGAATTTGTTATTGAGCAATTAATTATATAATTAGTTAATTATTATAGGATAAAACTTCTAAATTTATATTAAGAATTATAAAGTATTAAAAAATAGTTACACTATCGTTGATGGGAGGCTATGCTTGAATATTTATTTTGTGAATAGGAAAAGAACAGTGAATTAAAAAGCAGTGATAAAGAAGCCAAAGAAGATAAGAGTTGTAAAGAGAACATTATCCTTTTGCTTGTGGGAGTGGCATATGATATTTCTCATTAATTTGAACTCCAAATTTTTTTATTGTTTTTCTTCCTATTATATATAATAATTAAATAATACAAGTTTAATTTTTTTTATTAATTTATAACGATCATAAAATAATATTTATTTAAATAATTTTTAATATTTAATAATTAACGTTAAAATATTTTTACGAATATTATATTTAAACTCAATACCTCTAATAAGAATAATCATTTTATCGATAACTGGTATTGTTCGATTCGTGTAGATACAACTTTTAAGATTGGACGTTAATTATTAAAGTAGAAATATAAGGTTATTGTTTGATTGGAGGTGACCAAGTCTTTGAGGGGCTATTTTAGCGAATTGTTAAAAGCATAGGATCTGACAACTAGGGGTGGAAAATTGACACGTGTCTTTAATTAAGACATTAACAAGTGTGGTCCAAAATCACCTGACCCTCCCTGTCTTGCTCGGGTCGGGTCGGATGAGATTGGACTTTTGAAATGTTTCAGTGTGACCAACCCATAACTTTTGTACAATAGGCTTCTAATAAATAACCCAAATTTTGTTCTGGTCAAGGGCATAGAGTCCATGAATCCAGCAGCATTGTTTGTCTTCGTTAATTACACTATTATAACTTAGGTTTATGTTTTGTCAATTTTTTTCCATTGATTTTGAAAAGTAATTTATAATTATTTTCATTTTTATTTAATTAATACATAATTAACAGTTAACAGATGATATGATGTGGCAGTTAAATATTTTAGTATAATCACACATTTGATATGTGTTATTTATATATTCTTTCAATTTAATCTCACTTTTAATAAAATAAAATAAATTTAATCATACATTCGAATGATGTCATGTGTCACTAGTACCACATGTCACTATTTGGTTAAGGACTAATTCTATTTTAATTTAATATATTTATTTTTTACTAATGGACGCTTGGGACCAAATTACTTTTATATTAACTTAAATTTATATTATTTTTATATTAACATAGCAAAGCAAATTGGGACCGAAGGGAGTCGTGGGTCACTTGGTCTAAATTACTTTTATATTAACTTAAATTCATAATGTTTTATTTTTACTCAATCATTTGATAATTAACACTTAAATATCCTACGATCTATGGGTCCCTCAAATATTTTTTAAAATATCAATTAATATTAAAAAAATATAAATTTTTGAAAATAAATAAAAAATTATCAGGCCCTTCAATTAAAAAAATTATATTTATTTAAAATAAAAAATAATTTTAACCCCTCTATAATAAATTCTCACCCGCCCATAAAACTCTAAAAATAATAATAATTTCCTTAATTAATTTATGTAAATTGCCTATAATATTTTATTCGATATTATTGTATTATTTTATTTTGGAATCTTATAGTACATGATTTATTCTACTAAATTACAAAATGTTTATGAATGATTTGAAGATATTGTCTCCTACATTGTTTTAAGCCACTCGATGCCAATATTCTCATTTGTCCTCTCCCTAGCTCCCTTGAGCAACAATTCAAATTATCGATCATAAAATTATTCAAAAAATAATTTTATTATAAGGAATCAATAATTTAAAATAGTTATTCACTTAATCTGCTTACATATATTCCCAAAATGAGGAAAAAAGAGTCTAAACTAGGTATGGGCATGAGACCCGAACCGACGGGTTCCGACTCGACCCAACCCGATTGGGTCGGATTTAAAAAAAAATTGAGGTCACTCGGTTTTTTTAATGTGATGTCCGGGTCGGGTTCGGATTTAAGGTGAAAAATACCCTACTCGATCTGAAAAAAACATATAATGTTACTTTAAATATTCAGGAATAATTACAATAATACCTCTCTATATATTATTTTTTCAATTAAATCACTATTTTTATTAAATAAAAATATTTTTTTATTATTTCGGGTCGGGTTTTTAAGTTATATATCAAGTCAGGTAAAAATTTGTTTTGGTCGGGTCGGATTGAGTCTCGGGTGGAGGACTCCTTATTCTAGAGTCGGGTCGATTGAACTAAAAACCCGACTCATTCCCATCCCTAGTATAAACTCCCCTCAATAAGAATATAACTATGAATATGTTTGGATAAATAATTTTATTATATTTTTATTATATTTCAAAATAAAATAATTTTTTGGACCAAGAAGAAACTGAAAAAAATATTTATTTAAGCATGGATTCAATTTTAGTCTACAAAAACGTCGACGGGAATATTGTTATAATTTCGTAAAGATTAATCTTCCGAGATTGGTGATTTATTTTTAGGGTCAAATACATAAATAGTCCTCGATTATAGGATGTTATTTTATTGAGTCTCTCGACTATCAAAAGTTATAAAGTGGTCCCTGACAATAAGAATTGCTTTGTTGAGTATTTCGGCTATTAAAACTTACAAAATGGTTGTTTGACTATTCATTATGTTCCAAATTTGTGTCATTTTTCGTTAAAAATTAAAGACAATCCGAGTTGGATGTTAACATGTTGTGTGAGATATAATAAAATTTGATCATGTAATCTCAAATGATTATCACATCTCAGACAATATGTTAGCATCCAGTTTAGACTATCATCATTTTTAACAAAAAATGATGAGTTTGGAACATAATGATTAGTCGGGTGACAATCTTGTAACTTTTAATAGTCGAGGGACTCAACAAATTAACGCCCTATAATCATATGGTTATTCTATAACTTTTAATAGTAAGAGGACTAACAAAGCAATGTCATGTAGTTGGAGGATCATTTGTGTACTTTACCCTAATTTTTATTAAAAGGGTCCAATCATTGAGGCCAAGACTCGAGTGAGCATATCATATAGGTAGGCAATCAATGCCAATTGCCACCGCAATTCCGCAATGCATATCCCCCCGCCAATTACGGCTTGATAAACAAATCATTAATCAAAATAAAATCATAACACTAATTAATTACGAGATCATTAATCTCTTCCAACAAGACAGATTTGATAAAGCTTATAACCCCACTGGTTTAAGACTTCAAGACTTGTGTTTGTTTTTATGATATGATGTGAGATTTACATATTTTAAACAAAATTATTATTTTATGATATGATCAAACATGATATAATTATGATCAAAGATATGAATTTGTAAAAAAAATATTAAACATTTAGACAGTGTTAAATTATAAAATCATTATTTAAAGATATAATTAGAATGATTATTCAAACATTATCGAGTGTTCTTCAGTGTACTTTACCCACATTTTATGTTGTTTATAGAAAATTATGGGTATGAAAAGCTTTGAGCAGCACCCCCATATGGCCGACACGAACACACTTCGAGTGGGCAGCAAATGTTTTTACATAAAATAAACTTTCCAAGTCAACGAGAAGCCTAAATTTGTGAAAGGAAAACCCATAGCTATTGCTGCATGCTCATAAAGGTTTGTGAATTAATGGGTTTAAAGTAATATTAATAAGCATAAACAAGTGTTAATGAAGTATTGATTTAATGATGAAATTAAAATATTCAAATCTTAATATCTTAAGTTTTATTGTATTTAAATACTAAATATGAATTTGAGTCCAGCTTTATATCGATTTATGTCTATTAAAAATGACACATAAGCAAAACAGTTCTATTGCGGCGTTTTTAGTGGCGTTTTGAGAATAAACGTCACTGATTTTAAACATATAGCGGCGTTTAAACCCCAAACATCACAAAATAATACTTTTAGTGGTGTTTTTTTATTAAAACGTTGCGATAGAGTTTTACTTTAGTTACGTTCATATACATTTTAACCTAAGTTTTAGTTACCAATTGGAGTGTGTGTCGTCTTATAATTAGTTGACCCTGTTCCCATATGTAATGGGATAAGGGGAGGTAGGGTAGTAGGCTGCCCCCAACGTCAGGTTGAGAGCAGCTTCCGTGGAAGACCTCCGTTATAAATTGCCCTCAGTGTGTCGTCTCATCGTATGTTTATATTACGTGTAGATTAAGTGAAGTTTTGTATTAATTTAAATTCTATAATATATGCATGCCGTGTAAAGATTTGAGTTAGATTTTATGTTAGTTTAAGGTGACTTTATTTAAAAGTGATACACTTATTACAAGTAACTAAACTATTTTTTGTTTTAGGTATTTAAATTGTTTTTTGGGTCAAATTTAGTACTTAAAAGGTTATATTTAATTAGTTTAAGTTTTAATATATTTCAGTTAATTTTTTTTTACCAATAAGATGTTGATACGTCATACAAAATTAGATTTTTGTTTTGATAAAAAAATATTTTAGGGACTTAAAGCAAAAAAGAAATATAATTAAGGGACTTATTTTGACCATTAAGTAATTAAAGTACTTAAAATGATTATATATAGTAGTTTAAATACCTAGGGTTTGTTTGTTTTACGTAAAACATTTTCTGGAAAACATTTTTATTATTTTCCAATGTTTGGTTGGAGGAAAACTACTTGGTCAATGCAAAAACATTTGTCTGGTTAATATAATTTCTTTTTACATTTTTTTTGAAAAATGACTTACAGTCTGATTTTCTGTAAGTTATTTTTTAAAATTTTCACTTCAAATAATAAATTCTCAAAATAATTTTATTTTATATATGTATTATTAATATAATATTTTAATATACTTTTGATAAAAATAATATTTATTAAAGTATTTAAAACATTTTTATTAATATTTTTAATATTATAATAATGTAATCAATTATACTATAATAATATAAAATATTATATTTTTATTTTAATAATTTCTAAAATATTCATCAACAAGTGAAAAATAATTTACACGACCTCTTTCAAATACGTAAAATATTTTTCAAAAAATATAATTCATTTTACAAAAAAAAAAATATTTTTCAAAAAATGTTTTCAGTTAAACAAATGACCCGAGTTTCATAAAAAATTTAGATACCTAAAAAATAACATAATTTAAACATTTTGTTTAGTTTAAACCTTATTTAAATCCCAATTTAATTTTCACATGTAAAACAAATAAATTCATTAATTAAAAATCGGAGCCAGCTTAGCATTTATATATTTAAAAATATTATTTTTCAAATTGGGTTTTAGGTACAACTAACAAAAAGAAAGTTACGTTGTATAATAATTAAACCATAGGAGTGTGAATATTAAATAGTTTTATTTTTTAGGAAAAATACAATGGAAAATAAAAACGTTTAAATTTTTAAATTTTAAACATATTTAATATGCTTAAACTTTTTATTTCAAACTTATTAAATATCATTTTAAAATATGAAAAAACTATTAAGTATGTTATACAAATAAACAAATAAAAAAATTATTACAATTTTTTATTAATATGAAATAACTGCAAGACAATATTTATTCAAACATAACTTTCAACTTTTTAACATTAAACGCTTACATCTTTAATATTTATGATATTCGAACCTAAATCTTCAAATAATAATAATAATTGTTTTACCATATATAATTAATACGAAAATTTGATTCGAGCAATCATTTAATGGATAATGAAATTGGATAGTCTTTAAATTAAATATATATATATATATATATATATAGAGAGAGAGAGAGAGAGAGAGAGAGAGAGAGAGAGAGAGAGAAAACTTTATAAAAAGTTTTGGTCAAAATGTTAAAGGGCAAAGTTGACAATAGAGTGATAAAGGAAAGGGTATTAATGTCAAAAAAGGGAATGAAATCTGTGGCTTGTCGCATGTCATTTTCTAAAAGATATGTGATGCTGATTTTTAGACCCTCAAAGCATTTTTTATTTTATCTTAATTATATTATATGATATAGCTACTACTTGGGGTGTTTGGATGGAGAATGTGAGATTCATCCGTTTGGTTAACTCGAGAATCTCATTCCCAGTAATATAAGATTATTAATAGTGAATTTTTTAGGATATATTATCGGGAATGTCATTACCTTCATTTCCTTAGATATTGTTTTATTCTCAATGTTTTAGACTAAAATGCCCTTAATTTTTTTTAAATATCATTTTTCTGTCATTGAATAATAAAAATTCTACGAAGGTTAAACTATAAATTTATCCTTAAACTATTTTAGATTTACAAAAAAAAATCTATAATTAAAATTTTATATAAAGTTCAGGGGTTAAAATAAAATTTTACAAACCTTTTTATATTTTTAATTTTGTAAAAAAATTATATAAATTTTATGAATTTAATTTTTTAAAGAAAATATATAAATATTTTATAAATATATAATAAGGATAATTTGGTCAAATATACATTCCAATAATCTTTTATTCCTTTAACCAAACACGGTAATCTTACATTCCTGCTAAGACAATCAAACACAAAATACAACATTCTCAGTAATCCTATTCCCTGGTAATCTTACATTCTCACTGGTAATCTTACATTTCCACTGGTAATCTTCCATTCCGTGAACCAAACGCACCCTTAGAATATATTAAAATATTTTAGTAATAAAAATAATTAATTATTTAAAAATTTTAAGTTAGAACAATTTTATTTATGCATCGACTCGATATGTATCAATCTTTTTGAAATTATTTAGTTTAGTGTTCGAATATTAAATAATTAATTTAATATTATAATATTTATTTATAAAATTAAACGTTGAACGCAATAAAAAGAGAAAGAAATAAAAAATGGGAACCCATAAATTTATATTTCAAAGAAATCAGAAACACAATCAAATCACATGTTGAATGTAAACCCTTTGAAGTCAATTCCCACTTCATATATATATATATATAATCCCCACTTCACGATTTCTTCAATGAACTCTAACCTCCCAATAAAAACATAATATAAATAATTATTTAATGGGTTTGCGATAAATAATTTTAAAAGTTTGAAGAGAAGAGTTAGTCTTAGAGGGAGACAACAGCGTATCTGCAAAAAATCCAAGAAATTCGATTCAGTTGATGAAGAAATCTGGATACATAATAAATTTGTTTTAAATTAAATTAAAATTATAAAAAAATAGTAAAATAAGAGAAAGGAAGCCACACCGCACAGATCAAAGGACGACTAGAGAAAAAAAAAAGTAAAAGTCATAGGAGGAGGTCTCTCAACTTTAAAAAATTTAATACAATCAGGATTATTTTTAACGTGGTTTTTTAATTTATAAAATAAATTTAATGTGATATTTTAGCCAATATTTTTCCGTTATTAATCGTTATAGTGTGATCATAATAATTTATTGTATTAACATGATAATTTACGATGTTAATACGATAATCTATTATAATTGATAACGTGATGACAATATAATAGATGTGCTAAACTATTAAGTAAAATATAACGCACGGATTGATACGTTAGTACTGTGAATCGACAGGTTAACATTAGTCGAACACGAAAAATATTAATAAAAAATTATATTAAATTAATTTTCAGAGTTAAAAAACCGCAATATATATATTTTTTAATTTTTGCCAAGAAAAAAAAAAAGAACACTGGATGGTTGTGTATGTAAAATATTTATTCAATGTACTGTATCTGTAATATCATTTCAAATGACCCCATTTCTTCCTCCAAAGATCTTTATCTTTAGTTCCCTGTTCTTTCTGGTATTTGCTTTGTTGTGCTTTGCTGTGAGTGCTTGCTGGTCAATCTGCAGAATTTGATTTTAATATTGAAAGAAAACAGTGAACTGTCTGTGAACGTGCTCTTCTTTCTCTTGGTTGCCTCAAACACCTTTCACGCTCGGAAGGAAACATGATTAGTGTTGTTTCCCTGTAAAAAATCCCATTTTTTTATATTGGCACCAGAGAAGAAGAAAGGAAAAAAGAACCCTTTTTTATTATTGGCAGTGAGAAATCTTTGGAGTTTGAGCTGTTCTTTTACATCTTTTGAGAGCCATGCTTATGTCTGAGAACAGAAAAATCTTCCCCTTCTAATTCTTAAGAGTTCATTTCTTTGTTCAAGCTCAAACATGGAGTTGGTGTCAAAGGAAGAAGAAAGAACAAGTTGAGATTAGTGGTTTAGTAGGTTTGTGGTAATGGGTCTAAAGCTGCAACAGAGGCAGCAGCAGCAGCAGCACTCGGTGGCTGTCAAAGTGAATGAACAAATGGGGAGCAAAAGAGGGTACACATTTATTCAGGCCAACAGGGCTTGGTTGCCCAAATTTCTTTTGCTTTGGGTAATGGTGATGGCCTTTTTGAGCACTTGGATCTACAAAAAAATGGACGCTGACAACAAAGTCAGGAGGAAAGAGGTGTTGAGTAGCATGTGTGATGAGAGGGCAAGGATGTTGCAAGATCAATTCAGTGTTAGTGTTAACCATGTCCATGCCTTGGCCATCCTTATTTCCACTTTTCATTACTACAAGAATCCATCTGCTATTGATCAGGTTGAGCCTTCTTGTTCATATAAATTTGGAAATTTCTATTTAAGTTTCAGAAGAAAAAAAACCCCTTTGTAGATGATCTTATGTTCTTTTAGTTCATATTGTTGAGTTTTAGAATACTAAAAATGGAAGCTTTGGATTATTGCTGTTTTTGATTGTGCACTTTGGTTTTTTTTTTGTGTGCAAGAAATGCAGGAGACTTTTGCTGAGTACACGGCAAGAACTGCGTTCGAGAGGCCATTGCTGAGTGGGGTGGCCTATGCTGAAAGAGTAGCGCACTCGGAGAGGGAGGAATTCCAGAGGCAGCATGGCTGGACAATAAAGACGATGCAGAGGGAGCCTTCTCCTGCTCGAGACGAGTATGCTGCGGTGATACTCTCTCAAGAAACCGTTTCCTATATCGAATCGATCGATATGATGTCTGGGGATGTATGTGGTTTTCTATATACAACCTGCTTATAAGTTCTAAGATTTTTACCTTTAGTTTGATATTTAAATTCGGTATTAGATTCGAATCACATTGTCCGTGTTGCTTTGTGCAGGAAGACAGGGAAAACATCTTAAGGGCTAGGGCTACTGGGAAAGCTGTCCTAACTAGCCCCTTCAGGCTTCTCGGTTCCCATCATCTCGGTGTTGTGTTGACTTTGCCCGTTTACAAATCCAAGCTCCCAACAAGGCCGACTGTAGAAGAGCGCATCAAAGCAACTGCGGGGTAAATCGTAGGCTTTTGCATACTAGAGTTAGTGAATATATTCGACATAGTTTTGAAATCTATTGATCAAACTGAAAAACGGTGACATTAGATACTTTGAGAGTGATTATAAGAAAAGTTTGTAGTCTATATCAAATGCAATTGTATTAGAATGAACACTTCGAATGGGGAAAAAAGGGGTTTAGACTTTTGTTAGTGTTATCAACGCTGATGGAGTTAGTTATTCGAAGGTAGATACGTAATTCCGAAAAATGTACAGTTCTTCATAGTTTTTGCTTAAAAAAACAGGGCTAATTGTTTATGTTAGTTCATTTCTTTATGCATAAAAAATAACTTGTAACACAGATACCTCGGTGGAGCCTTTGATGTGGAGTCTCTGGTGGAGAATCTGCTCGGGCAACTTGCTGGAAATCAAGCGATTCTAGTGAATGTATATGACATTACTAACTCTTCCGATCACCTGATCATGTATGGCCACCAAAATCAAGATGGTGACTTGGCTCTGTTGTATGAAAGCAAGCTCGATTTCGGAGATCCGTTCAGGAAGCATACAATGATATGTAGGTGAGTGAAAAAACTGGTTAGTTATTCATGAGGTTTACGGAATGAAAGCCGTTGATTTTGTAAGTGGCTCAGTCATCGGCTTTTACGAGCAGATATCATCAGAAGGCACCTACATCGTGGACGGCGCTGACCACAGCTTTCTTATTCTTTGTGATATGCTTATTAGTTGGTTATATCTTATATGGTGCCGCTATACACATTGTTAAAGTTGAAGACGATTTCCATGAAATGCAAGAACTGAAGGTTCGAGCCGAAGCTGCGGATGTTGCCAAATCGCAGGTATGTTTTTAAGTATATCTATCAGCACATTGTTGAGTACTAATTTCCAAGCTAAAACTAATTACGAAGTGATCTTGTTGCAGTTTTTAGCAACAGTTTCTCATGAAATTAGGACTCCCATGAATGGTATCCTCGGTATGTCCCGGATATCTCAAGTTCTCTTTGAAATATAGGCATTAACTGATTTTAAGCAGCAATTTTTGGTGACTTTTTGAGTGGTTGCAGGGATGCTTGCTTTGCTTTTGGATACGGATTTAGGTTCAACTCAAAGGGATTATGCTCAGACCGCGCAAGTCTGTGGAAAGGCACTGATAACATTGATAAACGAGGTGCTTGATCGGGCCAAAATCGAAGCTGGAAAATTGGAGATGGAATCCGTCCCCTTCAACCTTCGATCTATCCTGGATGATGTGCTGTCTTTATTTTCCGAGAAGTCTAGGAGCAAAGGTGTTGAGGTAATTCTAGATGGGAGAAGGAAAATCTAATGCTTAATTTTTCGGTTTATTTAGTTCCTATAGGCAGTGGATGCCTATGATAAGAGAAGGAAAAACCTTATGGTTTATAAATGCTTGAACTAACTCGGTGCATTCTTTTGTTCTGTTCTCCTCTATTTTGATGGATTGTTGACATCTACAAATGGTGATGTTCCTGATGCATACAATGGCTCGAATACGGTGTAATTGTTCGGGTACTGAAGTTGGCAGTCTTTGTTTCCGATAAAGTTCCGGAAATGGTTATGGGAGATCCAGGAAGATTCCGACAGATTATTACGAATCTTGTTGGGAACTCTGTTAAAGTAAGTTGGTTGCTTTATCATTACTCATTTTGGCACTCGGTGGTATATATCAATGTTGGTCCGAGTTTTCATTTTTATCGTGATTGACAGTTTACAGAACGAGGACACATATTTGTTAAAGTTCATCTCGCGGAAAACACAAAGCCTGCAGTCGATGCAAAAGCTGAAACTTGTTTGAATGGTCGGTTGGATGATGGTGTGCCGATATCAGGTGCACACCAGTTTACAACCTTGAGTGGTTATGAAGCAGCTGATGAGCGGAACAGTTGGGATTCCTTCAAGCATTTAGTTTCCTACGATGAATCGCGATACGATGCCTCGATAAACATGACGGTTCCTGGTGAAACTTCTCAGAGTGTCACTTTGATGGTATCCGTAGAAGATACGGGTATCGGGATCCCTTTAATTGCCCAGGACAGGGTTTTCATGCCGTTTATGCAGGCAGATAGTTCAACTTCGAGAAATTACGGTGGGACGGGTATAGGCTTGAGCATTACCAAGTGTTTGGTTGAGCTAATGGGTGGTCACATAAGCTTCATTAGCCGGCCACAAGTCGGAAGCACATTCTCGTTCGCTGCAGATTTTGGGATATGTAAAAAAGTTTCTTTTAATGATATGAAAAACGATCTTCCTTCTAGTTTCCGAGGATTGAAAGCAATAGTAGTTGACGGAAAACCGGTTAGAGCTGCCGTAACTCGATACCACTTGAAGAGACTTGGTATACTCGCTGAGGTTGCAAGTAGTGTAAAGATAGCAGTTTCTGCATGTGGGAAGAACAGCTCTTCATGCGTGTAAGTTGAATTCCTGCTTAGAATCGTGAAAATCTTATCGAAGAGAATGCTCTCCTTGATCCCAAATACGACACTTTCTACACTAATATAATGTTCTAACTTAGTTGAATATTGCAGAAGTAAAATCCAGCCGGATATAATTCTCGTCGAGAATGATTTATGGCTTTCCGGAGAGGATGGCGGTTCGAGCTTACGGATGTTGAATGGACATGCGTTTAAGTTACCTAAAATGATTCTTCTTGCGACAAATATTACTAATGCTGAGCTTGAGAAAGCAAAGGCAGCCGGTTTTGCAGACACTACGATTTTGAAACCTATGAGGGCAAGTATGGTGGCTGCATGTCTTCAACAGGTGCTCGGGATCGGTACGAAGAGGCAGGCGGTAAAAGACATGCCGAATGGATCTCTTCGGAGCTTACTTTGTGGAAAGAAAATATTAGTAGTCGATGACAATATGGTAAACCGGAGAGTTGCTGCTGGTGCATTGAAGAAGTTTGGAGCTGCCGTGGAATGTGCCGAGAGTGGAAAAGTTGCCCTAAAACTGCTTCAGATTCCGCACTCTTTCGACGCATGCTTCATGGACATTCAGATGCCGGAAATGGACGGGTACGTAATTATGTATATTATATCTTTCTCGACGATCAAAATACTGAAACTAAAGGGTGAAAGAAGTGTTTATATGTTTGTCATAGAATATCCTGAACTTTTATTTCAGGTTCGAGGCAACACGTCGGATTCGAATGACGGAGAGTCAAGCAAACGAACAAATGAATGGAGGCGGCATAGACAAAGGGCCGGCCCGGAAAGGCGAGTTGCATGTCCCGATATTAGCTATGACGGCTGATGTACTTCAGGCCACCTATGACGAGTGCCTTAGATGTGGGATGGATGGATATGTCACAAAGCCCTTTGAGGAAGAAAATCTCTACCAGGCAGTAGCCAAATTCTTCAAAGTCCAACCGATCTCGGACTCGTAGCCGAACACCTTGCACCCACATCGGAAAAGCGAACACAACCAAAACCAAAGGATACGATCAGGCCGGACATTTTCGGCTAACTTTTTTCCCAATCCTGCCGGTGCATTTTGGTTTAAAACACTGCATATAGATCGCACAAGTTCCCGAGAATTCTCGACTGCATCAAAATCACACGAGTGTTAGGGCAATCATTTCTAATCCGAACTTCGATTTTTAATTGGATTCGAATTCGAGTATTATACTACCACAGGAAACTACATCCCTATGGGTTTGTATAGATCTTTACGAAGGGGATGCTTTGATTTTCTCCTGGGACTTTGAGAACTTGTGCACGTAAATGGAGTTTTGATTTTTATGATTTTTTTTTGTATCAACTTTGTGTTTTCAAATATAAAATATACTATGTGACTGAAAATTAAAATTTCTAATATGTTTTATAGTTGCACATAATTTATAACAAAATATTAGTTCAATATGTTTTTTTTTTCGTAATTATTACATTTTTACCTTGCACCTTAAATTAGGCTTTTTATTACAAAAGGCTCATTTTAATATTTTTAGGGTAAATTACATGATTAGTACTTAAACTATTAATTTTGGTCTGTTTTAGTATTTAATTCTTTTTAAATTATATCTAAAGTTTGGTTTTTATTTCATTTTAGTATCCGTTCTAAAATTTAACATTAAGTTTTGAAAAAAAAAATGAAAGTTTAGGTACTAAAATTTATCAAAATTGATAGTGTAAATACTAAACGCGAGAAAGTTTTAATGACTGATATTAAAATGAAATAAAAATTAAATAAGGTGTAATTTTAAAAAAAATAAAAAATCTAAGTATTAAAACGAACTAAAATTGATAATTTAGATACTAAATGGATAATTTACCCTAGTCTTTTATCGCAGTAGTTCCCGCTTTTCATTACTCACCAAATCTATTTACCGTGATCCATCAAAATATTTTTTATAATTACAATATTATCCCTATTATTATGTTGTCATCGTGCCATTCTAATAATAATTCCGCAATAAAAAGTGTCAAAATTGGTATATAAAAAAAGATTTATCATTTTAATTTCGTCCGTCGGAGATATGCATAAAATATTTAATTTTTACTTGCAAAAATGGAAAGCTAAGGTTTATCTCGTTAAGTGGTACACACATAAAATGGATGTAGTAACCTTCGGCATCATAGTAGCCCTAATCCTGGTTTTTTTAGTCATTGCTTGTTTCATCACCATTGAAGGCACTTGCAAACGCCGTTCTTAGTTTGGGTGTCTATTCTTTCCTCCCCCCAATTTCTTGCTGTTTTCGTTCTTCTCTTTTGCTTTCCAATCTGAAGTCTTTTTGTTTTCAATTTCGCTAGAAAAAGCCATCAAAAGGTGGATTTAAAGAAATTGGAAGGGAAGAAAATGGGGTTTGAGAAAACACCGATCTTTTTGGTGGTGGTTTTGGTTTTTGTGAGTTTGGATCTGTGTGTCGGGAGTGGGTACGGTATGTCGCCGGCGCACGGTGACCATGGGCATCATCACCATTGTGATCACGGACATGGGCATGACCACCACCATCATAATTCCCATAACAATGATCGTGGCCATCATCAGCACCGCCAGGCGGAGGAAGAGAGGAAGAAGATGATGTTACCGGAGGAGTTGGCCGAGGAGGAAGACATGAAATTGTACGGATTTGGGCCATACCGGGATGATCACGATCATGATCATCACAAGCTCTCCGATTCAGGTAATTATAAATGAAACTTACGTTTTTAAGTCTGCTTTGCATTACATTTGACGTCTTCTTAAGTTGAGTTTGAGTGGAAAAGGTGAAAGCTTTATGGAGTTTGACTTAAGCTCTGAGTGAAAAGCTTTTCTTCTAAATCTGTGATCTTCATTTTATCGACTTAAATCAGCTTGATTATAGTTACCCACTGATTAACCAGCCTTGGATATCCGCTAATCTAGAGATATATTTTGGAAGTAGAACACTTTATGTAATATTGTTTAGTTTATTCTGATTTCCTAAAATGTTTGGTGTGACTGAATGTGAAGGAAAAGGATGGTTGTCGTACAGCTCTAAATTAGTGGCAAGTTATGAGATTAGGATAGCAGTTTTAATCAAGTTGTAGTATTGAATTTCATTTGAGGTGCCCACTGGGCAGAGTTCCCTCTTTAAAAATAGATTGCACTGGCCTACAGCGTGTAATTCATCTGGTGTATGCGCTTGTAGCAGAAAAGTCGATAATGAGATCTGGTTTGTAGCTGGTTTTAGGCTTGGATGTTGTATCGATTAGTTGCTATGGGTTAAGGGTTTAAGCTTCCACTACATGTCAGTTGGTTATGGGTGAGGTGCTAGAATCAGCTTGGAATTCCGGGTTTAATCACTCAGTATAAGCTTCTAACACTTACCATTTACTCATTTAGTCATTTGTCCCTGGGGCAATATGCACTCTGTTTTCTGGCAGTTGGTATGATGCTGTTGGATTTTGTTTTTCGGTTCTGATTGCTTGTCATGTTGGAGTTATGCACTCCACTGGAAAGCTGCTATCCCCTTGATTTTTGCATTTTTGTTGTTCAACATCCAACAAGTGTCAAGTTCACATAATTGATGCAATTCTGGTATGAGATTTCAGCCTTATTTAGACTTTTTTTGCAGGCCTTTGGTTACTTGCATTGGGATGTTCGCTTTTAGTAAGCTTGGCTTCCCTTATTTGCCTGATTATTTTACCTGTGATATTCAGTAAGTTTTTGAAGCATGATCATTTATATATTTGGTCTTCACTTCAGATTTATTTTCTGCTGAATTGATTTTTTTCTTTTCCCGTTAAAGATATTATTCCTGATAATGGAGCTCAAAATTTAATTATTTATTGCAGTACAAGGAAAACCATCCAAGGCGATCGTTGATTCCCTGGCTTTATTTGGGGTTAGATTCTTCAAACCTTTTATCTGACATGAAATTTTAAGTAAATATTTTGAAGATAACATCTGTTGAATACTTCAACAATATAATTTCTTGTACTTCTGGGTTGAGCAATATTCAATGCTATATCTCTCTCTCAAATAGTTTTCAACATTTTGTTGTATGTTGATATTACAGGCAGGAGCTATGTTGGGAGATGCTTTTCTTCACCAGTTGCCACTTTCGTTTGGTATGATTTTGCTCATGTATAAACTTATAATCAGTTGATTTAATTTTTTAAAAACATTTGATAATTCATAATAAAAATCATCTGATATATATTTTTCTATAAAAGAAGTGTGGAAAATGATAAATAGATATGGAGCTATTTCTCACTTAATGGAAAATATTTTTCGATTAATATTTTTACGTTCAAATTTGTCTTTGTTTAAAATAACGTGAAATGTTTAAAAGTTTACATTTATCAATCAAATAGTCTAATTATATTATGTAATTTTAAGTAGTAAACCAAATATATTTTATAACTTAAATTCAATTCTTTAATTTTTGGTTTATCAAACAACACATCGTTATAGCCATGGCTTTTGTGGTATATTCTAAGGCTTTTTAATACATGAGTTATAGTTCTAGGATCAATATAATCAATATACTTCAAGTTCCTTGACAGTCAGTGAGAGATTTATTTTGCATTTACATCTTTTACATAGTTGAGTATGTCTTGACAAGGGAGGCCACAGAATTTAGTTAAATCTGGAAACCATTTGGTGGTTTTGGGTGTTCAATTACAGGGATGCTATTTGAACTTCCTGGCTACTGCTTGCCTTTCACAAGCAATATACGCGCTTCATGCTTTCGATGTTTTAATGATCCAATGGTTGTTGAAAAAGGGATGTTTTGCATTCTTGATTCAGGGGAGGGGGTAAATGTAAAATAATCAAAGATTGATGTCTCCTTAATATGACTTCACATAAAACATGTTCCCAAAGGACAGTGACTTTGGTATGTTTGTGCAAATGCTAGTTACCTTATTATCCTATCCAAACAAAAAGGCCTACAACTGCAATTGCAACTGGAGCTATAACTCCTGAGTAGCCTTAGAAGATTTATGGACCAAAGTGTCTTCAGCATTAGTCTGAGGCTCCCAATGTCCATCAACACCTTAATGATGCATCAAAGCTCTTCTTTTCATGAAAATCATAACGTGATCCTATAGAATATGTGAAATTATGGGGAGATTTGATAGCCAAAGCATCATTGTTAGGCTTTTTCTTTCTATATCTCTCCTTGTTGCTTTTATTAATTTTATTAAAAGAAGTCAAATCTTTAATTCTGATCCCAAACAAGTTGACAGAATTAGTGTAAGGGCAGTCTGTACAATCGTTTGCTGGTTGAATTATGCTACTCCAGATAATTCTTTTGCTAATAAACTGTCTGCAGGTGGTGGACACTCCCACTCACATGCTGACCACGTGGATCCTGATCATACTGGACATGATCATACGCATGCACACTCTTTGAAGGACCTTTCTGTGGGCTTGTCCGTTCTTGGTAAGTAGCAATATATAATAAAAGTGTGTGATGGTGCATTTGTGTATATACACATGAATATGCGGGAAACATGCTAGGCTGGTCTTATCATTTCTTTATATCTGCAATGATGTAAGAAATTTCTTGTTCAATAATATCACTATTGAAAATTCGAATGCATATCATAGTCATAGATGCATGAACCAAGTGTTCCATGTTTTCCAAGCAGTTAGACTTGTATAATGCTGAAGGAAATCCGTTGAAAAATTGTTGCTCTGCTGAAAAGAAATAATGCTTGGTTGAAAGTGTTAGTTTTTGTAGGAAACTGACTTGAGCAAATATGAGAGTGTGAGATATTGCACATTTAGGATCTGCTCAATATGTTCTTTTGTCTTTGTGTGTGCATCTTAATTAATCTTTGCGTGTGCCAACTAATTTTTAATGAAAGCCTGATGAAATGACCATCCAGCTCAGTTGGTAGAGCACAAGGTTCTTAACCTTGAGATCGTGGGATCGAGTCCCACGGAGGGCATTTCATAATTCGGAGGTCTCTTACGGAAGTTGCTCTCAACCTGGTGTTGGGGGTAGCCTACTATCTTACCTCTCCCTTACCCCATACATATGGGAAAAAGGGACAGCCATTTTCATTTTGAAAACCTGTCATTTGAAAATCTTATGAACTTTTGTATTGCATTATTTCCTGTGGAATCTGTAACTCTAGAAAGTGGAAAAGGCATTTATCTGCTTTGGAACAGTTGATATTATAGTACTTTGCGGACATACATGTATTTTGATTCAAATGATTTCATAAAAGGCTATCTTCTTAAATTAGTCTTATTTTGGGGCTCTTGTCATGTTGGTGTTTCTGTATGTCACAGCTGGGATTGTACTCTTTCTTCTCGTTGAAAAGCTGGT